AGAGCCAGGCCAAGCGCACCGAGGTGGCCCGGGGCCGCCTGGAGAAAAGGAACTCGGACCTGATGGGCAAGGTCGACTCCCACAAGAAGCAGCTGGAGCAGAAGGAGGCCGACTACAGCCACCTGAGCAGCCAGCTGCAGGCCAGGGACGGCCAGGTGAAGAAGTGCGAGGACAGCAAGGTAAAGGGGAGGCGGCAGCCGGGACCGGGGCGGTGGGAGGGCTCCCCGGAGCCCTGCGGGGGCAGTCTGGCCGTGGGGGCACCGTTTATTCTCGCCGGGCGATGGCCGTGCCACTGTAGAGCCCACAGGCGCTGCTTGCTAGAGCTGGCGTGTCCGGTTTGGTTGGTGTCGGGAAATTTGGAGTGTGGTTGGGTTTCAGAACGCATCCCTGAAAGCGTCCTGCAAAGACACTGTCTGTGCCAGCGGTGAAAACACTGAGAGCAACCTGTTTTCTAGACAGCTGCTTTTAGTTTTTATTTTTTTTTGAGCTTTCCTCCTTTGCTGAGGTTAATTGGTCCGCTGTGATCAGCCAGAAAAGCTATACGTGGCCTTAAAACTACAGTTTGCTTGGCCTTGAGGAAAATGGAACAAGTGAAATGCTCAGGTGTAGCAGCACCCCTGAGCTTGTTTTCCCCGTGATACGCCTGGCACATCCGCGTCTGCTTCTTAGGCAGCCACCATGTACTTGGGAGGAAAAAATTGTCTTGCTCCTGACATAATGTGTCATTTTTGTTAGCTGGGAAGAGACAAGCTAATACAAAACTGAGCTTACCCTTTTATGAGGAGGTGGCCTGGGGATTTCTTTTGTTGGGGAAGGGAAAATGAGTGAAAGCATGAACTTCCAGCGTTCCGCAGGAAGCTCTTTACAGAGGAGTTAAGCAGATAAGTTTTGCCACTCACTCCTCTGGGGCAGCATGTACTCTGTATGCATGTGGTCCGTAGTTCTGCTAACTGAGCACTGCTCACAGTAGGATTTATGGAAATGTCACACCTGGGCTCATTACTGGCTCAGTTTGTTTTTTCTGGCCCCTTCATATTACACGTCTGATGAGCAGTGCAAGATCAGTCACAAAAAGCCTAAATGCATACGTGTCTCGTTACAAAACTACAGACTCCCTCAAACTGATTAAGTAGGTGTTGAAGTCACATTTTCTCTCCTACTGAACTTGTGTGTTCAGCAAACACATTTTCTTAATTTTTTAAATTTTTCTGGTACTGGAATAAAAGAAGCCTGATTAGATCTGTAACGATGGATACCAGTGCTCTCCGTTGGAAATAAACGCAGCTAACGCCATTGTGATTAAAAGAATTGCAATGCTATAAAATCTAGTTTAATTTGTAAAACAGTATTCTTTACATGTACCAAAATAGTTCAGTCTGATGAGTAAGAAAAGCTGAACGCAAGGCAGTTATGTGTTAATGAAGATGCTTCCCCATGTAAAAGGCAGAAAACTAGTAGTTTTCTAAACTTTTTTTTTTTTTTAAATTGAGCTTTACATGTAAATATTGAGCAAAGAGGTTTAGTTGTTCGTCGCTTGCTTCCATAGAAGAAAGCATCCAAAGATGGTCGTAACTTGCCAGCGCAGCACGGACTTGGCACTCCCTGAGGACAGTAAAACAGCGGCTGCGCTGCACACGGGCGAGGTCGAGGTCCTGCTCTGGTGACAGCCTGTGCTCGCGGGGTGAACTCGTCTGGTGTGTTGCTGCGCTGACCGCTGGGCGTAAAGCTCTGCGAGGGCTGGTGGAGGACGCCGTGCGTGGCAAGGCTTGCTTTTTGAAATACAGTGGCTTTGGCAGGCTGGGGTGGTTTGCTGTAGGACAGCAGGGGAGGAGGAAACGCAAGGGCTGGGCCAGGGAGCCTCCGGGTGACGGGAAGCCGGAGCTCACTTTGGAGGTCAGGGTACAAACGGAGGTGCTGCTGGGCTGCACCTGCCTGCTGCCCGCTCGGCTCTTCTCCCTAAACCTGAGGGGAGCAGGAGAAACGTGACCAGGAAACCTCGCGGTTTTGTTGATAATCATATGCGTGCTGCAGCACAGGCCCTGTGTCTGCGCTCTTTGTTCCAGAAGCTGCCACGTAAGGTCATATAAGCTGGTGGCTTTTGAATATCCTGTGCTCAGAGTGTTCACTGTGCCTGAATAGGCAAGAGTAGCAGGATGTTTTATCAATAACTAGTCGCTATCCTGTTCTCTTTTCTTCCCACGTGAGCTATTGCCATGTTCTTAGTGGCAACAAGCCTATTTTCTTCTAAAAACCCCTCCAACCTTTAATGACAGTACTTTAGAGTGTTGAGAATAAAGATCTGTTTTAGAGAATAACAATCTGTTACAAAAATATAGTGAGCAGCAGGCATAAAGTGTCTGACCAGGAAAGGCTTGAATGGTAGGTCCTTTAGTATCAAAAAAGAGTCGGGCAAGGATATTCTGTGAACAAACTGGGTTTCACCAACGATCTTGGTGCATTTGTGAACTGCGGGAGCTGTAGTAAAACCCAGGTAGCGCCTGGGGTGTCAAGTGAGCCCAACACATCTGGGCTTATTTCATGAGAAAAGTCATTGGAAAGGTGTTACTCTGGCGGTTGTCACAGTGTCAGTTCTCCCTTATTGCTCCTTTGGCTCCTTTGCCCTGTGGTCACGTAAGCCCGGTGTGCATTTCCCGGTGTTGAGGGAACGGGAATTTCTGCAGCTTGCCCCGGGCTCAGCGAGGGCTGTGGTCAAGCCCCAACCCTTGTCTCTCTCCTCCCGCCCGGTGACGCTGCGCCGCAGTGTGGTTTGCTCCTACAGGCAAACGTGGTAGCGTAACCTGGTGTCTTGGGGTTGTCTTTTAAAAAAAGGAAAAAGCACAACTGTGTGTGTTCTTGGGAAGTCTCTTCTCCTGTCAGCCTGTGCTTATCTCGATAAACTGGTGATGGTCGTCTGGACCTGGAAATAAAGTTATTGAGTTCCTGAGCAGCTCTTGAGTTCAGGAGTTCCTGAGCAGCTCTTGGGAGGCAGGTGGGGGTACTGGTTGCCCCGGTGTCTCAGGGCTGATACGGGCAGAGGTGGCATTTGTTTCCTGAGTATTTCACGCCGCCGTGCAGCATACGGCGAGGATGCTTTTTTCCAGAGCTCTGCACATCCCTTTGCAGTGAGCTCAACAAAATGACTGAATGGCAGGAACTTGTGGTGGGGAGCCCCACCTGGCAGCCACCCAGCGTGTAGGGGTTGTAGCTCCGTGTTGGCGGTTACAGCTCTGGCGATCGTGCCTTTCTCGGTCCAGAGCTCTCGCTGGCTCTGCCAGGTGTGTCATTCAGCCTTGCCCCTGCGCTGGTGCCTAGAGAGGGATGAAACCGTTTAGTAAAACATCCTTGAGAGCAGTTGGTTATGTTCTCTGTTGCCAAAGCTCCTCGATAGCTCCTCAGCTGACCGCAGAGACGTTGAACACATCTTCCAGCGTAACTGTGTGTTCCCGATGGTCACGGCGTCAGCGCTGCTGCTGTACGAATTGCGCGATGGTAGCGCTGCCTGTTCGGAAAAAGGCGGAGAGTGGAAGCCCAGAGGTCAGCGAGCTGTGGCCTGCAGACCCTTGTGCACACAGACCTTTAAGCAGCTCCCGTGCCTCAGCGGTGCCCTGGGAACCCCTGGCGCCCGAGGCGGTGCCCGGGAGCGGGGGCACCCGCTCCTGCTGCTTCGACAGGCCATGTGGAGGGTCTTGCTGCTGGAAAAAGAAATGGCTCGCAGGGAGATGGGGCGGATGTTTACATCCTACAACCCACTTCACGAGGAAGCAGTACTCCCCGTGCTCTGACCTGCCGCCCAGGGAGATGAGCTCCCGCGTGTTTATAGCTTTTGTCCTTATGTTGCGTTTCGGTATATGATGAGACTGTTACAGCTCAGACAGCACCAGAAGGTTGCCTCACATGTACGTGGCTCTGGCACGCACAGGATATTTGATTATTTTATTTTTTTTTTCCTGTGCAGAGCTTGTTGGGCCACAGAGAATTTCTTTTATATGTCCCGACTGCTTTGGAAAGGATCTGAGAAGCCACGGAGAAATAGGAGCAGCACAAAGAGGTCTAGACTCAGGGAGGGCACAGCTGAGAACGAGCTGGCCTTGTGCCATGGTTTGTGGAGTGTGGGTTTTTTTGCGTGAGTAGGTGGAACAGATCCCATGAATCATAAAAAAGCTTCTCTCCTTTCCATCCTTTGGAAGAGGGACATTTGCTGTCAGCTGAGCTGTTTTGGATATAAATTCTGTCACTTTTCTCTGAAGCTCAGAAGTGCCAAAAGGAAAGATGGTGCGGTGAAACCGATGCTGCCTTCAAATCAAACTCGAGTGAGCAGACGGGCAGCCTCCCCCAGCCCATCGCCAGGCAGTGTCTTAGAGGAGGAGCAGAAGCCAGCCGGAGGGAAGGCTTTCTGTGTTAGCAACTCTGAAAGGGAAGGTTTGAAAACAGAACCTGCTTCTTCCTGGGATCTCCTTTGTGGATTTGTTGCCTTCTGGGTGTTTTTAGTTTGGATCCTATTTCAGAGCAGCGTGGTCAGGCTTCCCGAGTTACCAAAACCATCCGCCCTCCTTGCTTTCTCTTTTGGAAAGCTTTTATCCTGGTGTTCTCAAACCAGGACGGGCTGCAGTTTGTAAAGTTATAACCACCTGCCTCAACCCATATGGGACAAATTGAATCAGGCAGTCTAGAGTCTCTTAAAGACAAAAATGTTACACGAAACATGTTTAAAGAAATGACTAATTTGATAAAAGGGGAGATAGAGGTGGGTGGAGGAAGTCTAAAAGTAAGGGCTTGTGTCTTTTTTGTGTTTGCTCATTTCTGCTATTTTTTTATCTTTACATAGGTCTTTACGTAAGAACGAGTTAAAGCGTCTTAATGACTTTGTGTACGTGCATTTCTTACTGCAACTGCTACTTTTTCCTTACTTAAAATACCAAATTAAAAGCTGTTGTCGAAGTATGCTGGTGTTGGATTCTCTCTTAAAAGTAGAATTTGCGTTATGAATATTAGGTAGCATCACATAAGAATTCACATTGTGCACTGATTTATTTATGCACTTATGCACTATCAGCAATATATTCTGCAGTATCAGAATGCAGAGTGTTTAGCCTAGTCCTGACAGAATCCACTTTTTTGATAGAAGCAGGATCTGGAAATAAATTTAAGTGTTTGTTAGCAAAGCCTAAGTATAGCATTCAGGTTGGTCATGGCACTTATCGATAGCTAAATATGACTTACTTGTATTTACCAGAGCCTTGTATGTGTCATTCCGATAAACCTTTACATACGTGGTCTTTACGATGAAAACAAATGCACCCGCGTCGCTGGAGCCTAAACCCTCTCTAACCTTAGGTTGTCTGTATTTATGTCATCTTTTCCTCCTTTCAGATGAAGCTGCAGACCAACATATCCTATCAAATGGCAGACATACATCGGTTAAAGGGTAAGGAACTTGTGGCCAAGCAGGGATTTGGCAGACTGGGAAGTTGTGTAACTTTTAACTGCCTGGGTACTGCAGAATACATCTTCAACGAAGGATCGAGTGATGCCGGAACGTTGCGTAACGTGAAATGTCATTACATTTATTACCCAGCCTGGGAAAACGTAGGGTTGGCTTTCCTGCAGGTCGCTCTGCTGTCTGCAGAAATCAGGCCCATTTTTGCTTCCGAGGTGTTGGAGTCATTGTTGTGAGCGAATACACAGTTCAGCGTCGTTTGCGTCAGCAGCGTTGGGATATTCTGCTGGGTTAGAAAAGGTCCAGAAAACATCTTTTCAGGCTGATCCGTACAGCCGTGGCTACGGCGCCTGTAACCTCACTGCGTGGGGTTCAGAGCTAAAGCCAGGACTGGAACATGCCTGCGGACAACGTGCTTGGCATTTCTGCCTGTAGTTATGCAGGAAGCTGTACAGTTATTTGGAGCCTGGGCTGCAGGGAGAAGAGCTTCTAGAACAATTACTTGCGAAGGCAGGAAATACGTTTTGGTTTTGTGGATAGTCTCAAGGTACTTCCTTTAAAACATTTATCGCAGAAGAAGCGTATTTGACCATCGTGCCTGAAGTACCCTGGTAGTACTTCTGCGTTACTCAGAATAACAAAGCCTTTCAAGCAGTGAAGGAGATTTCCAGCAGACAGATGAATTAATATTACGTTGGCATTTTTTTCAAGTTAGTTTTCAAGGTTTTTTCAAGCACGTCTAGAAGAAATAACATAAAACTTGAGCAGATTTTTAACCTCTCTAGCAATACTGAAAGTTGTATCTGCCATGGGGATTTTTTCCTTCCATTTCTATATTCATGTTGATTTTTGCTTTTCCGTCTAGAACAACTAGCAGAATTACGTCAGGAATTCATTCGCCAAGAAGATCAGCTTCACGAGTACAAGAAGAACAACACTTACCTTGCGAGGAGATTGGAATACGATAGGTATGTCTTCAAGAAAGATAGTAACTGTGGGTTTGTGTCTGTGCACCGGAGGCCTGTAGGTATTAAGAAGGGCAAGTCTGAGTGTACTCACTTGGTGATGTAATTTGCACTTAGCTAGTGGTTTGGTTCTGAAGTTCTAGTTTTTGTGTAGTTCTACTCCTGTCCTCGAAAACCTAAGAAAAATCTGACTTCCTGAAATTGGTCAGCATTGGGCAATTTGGAGTCAATACATTTTCTTTATAAAGTTAGTTAACAAATACTAAGAAGAGTATAATCAGCCTAGTTCTGTGAGCTGCCAGGGTCGTTAATTGCTGCCTTTCTAAAAGCGTGGGTTTATCTTTTTCAACTGAAGTTGAAAGCATTGTGTATATTGAACTTTTAAGTTGACCTCAGCCTTTTATGATGGAGAACAACTACTTCTGGGGCTGTGAGGAATGGAGGACATTAGTGCTTGAGAAAACGTTTGAGACCTTCACACACACACACACAAAAATATTCTTTCTGTGCTACGTTGGGTATTTGCGGGTTTGTAGGAGCCGGGAGACCTGTTGAATTAGGTTGATGTCTCTGTGGTTTGTTAGAGGAGTTGGGACACTGAGCTGTGCCCTTTCGATCGAGTTGTTACTGACTGTAGTTGTTGTGCATCTTTGAGTTCTATTTTTTGTATAGTTCTACTCCTTCCCCTCAGAGTGAGATACGACCTCAGAAAAATCTGACTTGCTGAGAGAGATACATACTTACTGGGAGAGTAAGTAATTCCCAGTGGAATTAGAAGATGCTGATGATGGATTAACTGTGAAGCTTAACTTTCCAGTTGCTTTCCAGGTTTTGGAGGAAATAGCTCAAGGCCATTCTCTTTGTTTTACTGTTTTTCTGCTCTGTCCCTGTTTTTTCCAGTTCTGCTTTCTTTCTGTATTCAGTCCATTTCCACTCCATACACATTCCAGGACAAGGCTTTTGGGACAGACTATTCTAGTTATATCTCAGGTTTGGCTTTTTGCGCCGCTTCATATTTTCCCCCTTATTTTATTTAAGGGCGAGCAGACACAACAAACAAAATATAACTAATAACGTGTTTCTAATCAAGTCTGCAGTGTGGGCAGCAGATGAAGGAAATGCGACTGCAGCACGAAGAAAACATCAAGAAATTAATGGACCAAATTTTGCGGGAACAAAAGGTAACGTGCAGCTCAGTTTCTTTGTTGAGTTAGAAGAGCCCGAGGTTTGCTGGGCTTTTGACTTAGTATTTCAGGTATATGGAGCCCTTGGATGTTTCTCCTCTAGATTTTTGCTAAATATTGTCCCAAGCAGCCCTAGACGGGCGTTAGTGCGGGCACAGCTGCCTGGCTGGCTCAGTCTCTGAGTCTTGAAGACGAGGCTTCATTCTTTGCTCTGCCCCAGCCTTTCTGCATGACATCATTGCGAAGGATTTCGGTTTCTTCTCTGTAAAATGGATATTGCTTTAGAGCTCTCCAGGGCAGGATCTGTGTTCTTACAACCTTAGACAGGTTATTGCAAAGGGGAACCTGATCTCCACTGGGGCCTCGAGGTGCTAATGTGATGCAAATAACAATGGTATTTGAGTGGTATCAGGGGTGTAATTATGTGGTGCAAGCTGCCAGTAGAACCTGGGCCTCTTTCCTACAAACGATGAAACAACCTGCTTTTCTCAAAATCTCATTTCCTTACTTGGTCTCTGTTTACAAACATTTCAAAAAGCGAGGCAGACCTGAAGTAGGTTTCGATCAGATCTGTCTTAAAATCTAGAATTGTTTCAAAGTCTCTGACCTGAGACTGAAGGCCTTGACCTGTGTGTGTTGGGCTTAACAGCTGCGCCTGCCAGTAGAGCCGGCACGCAGCCCTGCTGGTTTCACGTCTTCTGTTCAGTCGCCTGTTAATGCTGCGCTCAGGATTCACGTTTGCATAGAGAGGACTTCTGCTGATGTTTGCTTGGGTGATGGTCTTAATGCATAACTGTGGTTTTGCTTACCCAGAGCAATCATGGATTTGAGGACATTTGTTCTGTCGTTTTCAGGGATGTGCTTAATACTGGCTCCTTCTGAATTTCTTCTAACAGGCCACACAAAAAATTCAGTCCAGTAGAGACACTGAAGTAAGTCCCAGTAATGATGACCAGGCAATACCTAAGACTGTTCCGGAGGCAGAAGATAAAAACGTGGTGAAGAACGAGCAGCCTTCAGATCATGTTGTAAACAGCAAAGGTATTTCGTTCTTCTTTTTGTCATTTCTGGTAAGTTATGGAGCAGTTGTGCTGTGCCCTTTGCTATCGTACAGAATCGTGCGTTTCTCTGAAGTAGAGCAATGAATTAACTCCGTCAGCTGTGTGTGGTGGTACTCAGTTAGAGTTTATAGGTATCCAGAGTTTTTTGTTCCTATGTCTTGTGCTGCTGAATCGGCACCTTTTTGTATCAGTGCCGTGCCCGTTCTGGTCAGCGTCTTGCGGCAGGGCTTTTCCTCCTCTGGCATCACGAGCAGCACAGCTCGTTCCCCTCCTTTCTGAAGATTCCACCAGCTTGGGGAGCGCTGCTCCAGAGCAGGAGTCGGTGACCTGTGCAGCGCAGTGTGAGGAGCGCTGCAGCAGCTTTATCAATGTGGGACGTGTTCTGTGGCTGAAAGGACTTTTCTTCTGGTCTCGGAGCCTTCCAGAAGAGGGAAATATGTTGTTCAAATTTAAAGGTTAATAAGGCAGAATGTCCTATTCTTCTCTCTCCAGAGAAAGTGAAACCAGGAGGAGATGCAGGCATGCCTGAAATAGAAGATAATGACCCTGCTAAAGCTGAAGATACTCCCACTGGTTAGGAGAAATATTCTAATACTTTCACATTTGGGTTCTCGGTGGCATATATATATATATATATTTTTTTTTCCTCTTTGAATACAATGAATGCAAAGTTTTAAAATCTATCTATGGTAATAAAATTCAAGTGGGGTGTAAAATGAGCGATTTTTACTGTGCCCTCAAAACTGCCTGCTTCTGGTAATTCACTGCACCCCTGTGTTGTGTTAATGCTTTTTTTTCCCCCATGTATTTTCATTTAGCTCTGAAGAAGCCACATGTTTCAGCTCCTAAAAGTGAAGGTCATCAACCTGTTGTAAACCTTCCAACTGAACAGCCCCACGCTCCCAATCTGGCGCCAGGTGAAATTCTTAACGAGCGGGTGACAAGTCAATGTTTTGTAGTTTTTATTTAATATCTGTTATCATATCATGAATGGTACATGTATGTGAGCAGCCCCTTTTTTCATGTTTGATGTGGTTACAAAAAGAAAAACAGTGACTGACTGGTGCAGGATACAAGCCTTGGCCTGTTCTTAGTCTGACTTCTGAGGCAGCGGGGTTGCTGCTTTGTGCCTCCCCACACCCAGTGATCCCTGAGCCTTTTGACCATCTTCAGCCCAGTTTGAGAGTTAGAAGTTTCAAAGATAAATGCTTCAACAGTTCCCCGACAGACAGAGTAATTGAAATTAGTATTCCTCCTTAGGGGCACTAATTAGACACGGCTGCACCGTATCAGCAGGAGCTGATTGCTGGTCTCTTGGCAGGCAGCAGGATCCAGAGGTGCGGCAGCGGGGCTCTTGCTTGCTCACTGTCCTCCTGTTCCAGGCTTTAGAAGAATTGCAGTTGGAAAGAATGCAAATCCCTAGAAAATATCCTTAGGTTTAATGCTCGTGGATCAAGTCACTTTGCTTTAATGCCAATGTTGGGTTGTAGCTGCGCTGCGAGTGGCGTGTTCACATACTGTCCTGCTAAAAACCACCCAGCGTAATGTATTCATCACGTATGTGTGACACGAGCAAACAGCTTGAAGCGTTTTGTTGTGCCTGTTATTGGTTCTTTTGAAAAAAGGCAGCAGGTTTAATTTCTTTCCCTCTGCAGTGGATGTGTAAGTAGATTAGAATACCAAAACCAGCGAGCTCAAAGGCTGTACACACGTTTAACGTTTATCTCCAAATGTCAGATCTTTTAAGTAGTTGGCTTCTTTCTGTTGTGCTGAGGTAGTCCTTCACTTTGACTTCTATTAGTGAGGAAATATGAAAGATAGCAAGAGAAGAGCTCGCTTCATTGCACGTAAGAGTTTATCGACAGAAGATTGATGTGAATTTCAAGGGGACCGACGGGGGTTTTCTGTAGTCCTGGGTTACACAGTCCTAGGATTCTGCTCATTATTTTAGCATAACTTTTGTGACCTACTGCAGCCTTCTCCTCGGATCACAGCTCTTGGAGCAATAAGTGATGTTTAGTAGATCTGAAAAGCAGAATCAGCAGGAGGATAAAGAAAATACATAAATGTATTATTGTTCTGAGCTTTATCAAGCACTTAAGCACATACAGAAAATCAGCTGAGAAGGTAACGGCTTAGGATTGAATCTGCATTAAAATGTGATGAATTATCTTCTGTGGTAACATCACAGCCTTCTTTAGGAGCCACCTAAAAACTGAGCACGCTTCTTCCTCCTGTAGGTTTACACAGTGACAATGATGGAAATGCTGACATTGCAAAGCAGATACCTTCAAATGCTCTCCAGCACTTAAATTTTGAAGAAAACATGGAAAATCAGAAAGAACGCAAAATTGAGATGGACCATATAAAGATTCCAAAGAGCAAAGTTAGCGACTTGCAGAAGATGAAGCAAAGTAAGTTGACTAATATCTCTTACTTCAATATAGTAAGAAAATCACTTCATTTTCTCTCTGTAGTAGTGCCTGCCTGGAAAATGGGAACTATTGCAGCGGGCGGCCTTCTGGAAAGTGAGCATGAAAAGAAATGTCATATGTTCCTGTGTAAAAGATAGGCCTTCCTGTGTCATTTGTCATAGCTTGATAGATATGTTTATGTATTCAGTCATAAAAAATGTATCTGCATGTAGGAATTTAAAATGCCTTTGCAGACTGTTGCACACATAAATAGATGAAGTCCAGACATCCGATTCGTAGTGATACCGAGTTACTTGTGTTCACGCTGCATTATCTGACTTCAGTGGGACGTTTTGAACCATACCCTCCCAGCTGGGGGTGTTTGTGTTGGGGGGGGGTGTGTATCGGCCAGAAGTTTGTTCTCCCATGGGAGGAAGTTTTCCAGACCCCTTCTCTTCCCCGGCTGCTCGAGGAAGAAGTCTCTGGAGCAGGCGCTGCGTGTGCGCTGGTGCTGCCGCAGCACGGTGGGCAAGAGCTTGCCCGTGTGTGTGCTGCTTCCGAGGAGCTCCCTGCCTTGGGGCTGATTCCGTGATGTCTGGAGAGTGTTAACACCTCCAGCATTTGATTTAGTGTCTTCCCGTAGGAATGTTGGACTGAAACAAGTTTCTTAGTGGAGACACTGTGCTCCCAAGCATTAGTATCGAGCGTGCTGACCTGATGCACCTTGACCTGGTTGTTTTTCAAGACCTAATTCCAATTGTTTAGCATTTGGGTGGGGAAGGGATGTCTGGAAGAATAAACGTAGTGCTGAAATATCTCCTCTTGCTTTTTACCCAAATACGATTTTTCTTTATCATAAAGCAATTATAAATTCAACTTGGAATTTCTCTGTACTCTCAGCTAAGTAGCTTTTGCTTGGGCTTCGGTGATTAAAATCCGTCCGTGCTCCAAGATGACAAGTGAACCACATCGGAGCAGCAGTCTTCAGAGTCGTGAGGGTTGGGAAGGGAAAAAAAAAAAGGGGGGCAGGTTCTGCAGCCTCCTGCCAGAAACCTGTGTTAGCTCTGTGGGTGGGATAGACATGGTACAGAAATAGCACACCTTGAGAAAAGACTGTGGCAGGCATAGGTACCACTAACGCGTTTATTGGAAAAGCTGCTGCCAGGTTTACAAAGATGCATCCTTTGCTTGGCACAGTTTGGTATTTTGAGTGCTGGATGATAAACAATGTATGAGATGAGATTTTGGCAGCACAGAAGTTTGTAAATGTAGTAGTAGTCTGCAGTTAAGAATGGAGACTTACATGCACAGAGCAAGTGGCAAATAGCTAGTGAGCAGCTGGGTCAAAACCGATGTGGTTCTTAGTCACTGACAAGTGTCTGAAGTGAGGTTTTTCTTCTGGGATGTGTAACAGCAGTGTCAAACGAGACCGTAAGAAGGAGGAACTAACTCTGTTTTACCTAGTGCTTGTGGAGCCATCCTCTGGCTTCAGTATCAAAGAAAGCTTGAAGGAGTTCAGGGGAGAAGAAGAAAGAAAGAAAGAGTTTAGTATGAGAGGCAAAAAGCTCTAAAAAGGCCAGAGTTGAAGAGGCAGGGGATGGACATCAGTTTGCTGTTTTGATGTTTTGGTGGTCTTGCTTGTTTGTGTTCAAGAAACAGATCTTTAAGGAAGGCTTCAGTTATTTTAGTGGCGCTTGCAGAGCTTTCTGCTGAAGCGGGGGTTAGGAGCCTTCAGAACTGGCATGCACAGAGCTTCTGTTCTGGGTATCCTGAGAGGTGTGAGACTGTTTAGTTTGTTGAAGGAGCTTCTTGAAGATCTTGTGCTCCTCTGGGTGAGCAACTCCAGCTGGGATGGCGGAGCTTCAGACTGCAGTTGTTGGGAGTCTGAAACGGGTTGGCTGTCTTCCCCGCTGGTGGAGGAAATGATGCGGGGGCTGAGCTTTGCAGGCAGGAGCAGTGAATGAAATGTCTCCCTCGCAGGCTGTGAATGGGCACCACGGAGTCACTCAGCATCACTGGGGAGTCTTTTCCTTTTCTTCTGCACGTTTGGACTAATTTACATTGTAATGATGCAGCGAGGGAGGCACTTTCTCTAGCACATAGGGAAGTAGGTCTGGGTTTGCAGAGGGTTTTTCCTGGTTGGTCAGCAGTGGCTCTTCCAGAAGGTCCATCCCTGATAAACTCACCCCTGTGGCACAGCGGAGCCCAGCTCTGGCACGCAGCTCTCCCTGCAGGCAGCTGCCTGGCCGGGGTTTTGGCTGCCGAGTGCTGCAGAACTTGCTGTGCCTCAGCCCATGGGACGAGAGCAGTAACCAGCACTGGTCAGGGTACCTGTCACATCTGCCCCATTTCAGAACCGGAGAATTTCTCCCCAAAAGCCATGACCAGCATGGATTTAAAAAGCAGCTTTGGCACTAGGTACAGAGATGGGCACGTGGTGGCTGTTTGAGTAAAAACCCACCTATCTGTTGGGAGTTCATTTCAGCAAATATGCCTGCAGGTTTTAGCATCAGCGGTGTCCTCGTGGGGCATCCCATGCTGTCACAAACCCCCTGTGCTTCAGGACAACACATCCCGCTGTGTCCCAAGCAGCCGGTCCCGGTGGTGCCTGGCTCAGGACACCGACGGGGCTTTGGAGAGGATTTGATGCAGTGCCACCGAGACTCCACATCTTATCCTGCTTCAGAAAGCAGTTGGCACGTTGCCTGGCCGGCCACCAGCGACTCCAGTTCTGGTGTTTGCCTAAAGCCTCGCCACCCCGAGACTGTTACACGAGCCTTGTGTGAGTGTCGATGCTCTCCTGGTGTGGTGCGAGGAGCCATTGACTGCCCCAAACCCGCCGCTGCCCGCACGAGCAGTGGGGTTGCTCTGAAGACCCCCACGCGAGGCTTGCTGTGTTTCCTAGGATCTCTTTCTAATTTTTTAACCTTTCTTTCTGTCAGCTTATATTTATTCAGTACTTTTTTGTCACAGTATTTCTGGCATTTTCTACAGGCTTGTTTTTTCTGTAAGTTCAGCGCGTTCCGTTGTCCTTCCGTAGCTCGCTTTATGTCTCACGTGTGTGAATCATACGGTGCAGCAGGTGATAGGTGATGCAGTGTCCAAAACCACAAACAATCATAGCAAGGATTACTTGAATCAAGATGAATAGAGAATGAGTAATATATTAAACTTCTGATTCCTAAACAGATCATAATTTCTTCTTGCTTATTTTATGAAAAATAACTGAAACCTCTGTTCCTGTACATGTGAGCTGCACTAGATGTGATTCTTCCACTCCTCTTCCCCACCCAGATAAGCACTAGTTTCTTCTTTTCTGATTTTTATATACTGCCACGTTTCATTAAGAAATAGTTTCATTTTTACATCTGTCCATTGAAAACCCAACTTCTTTTTTAATCCTAATACTGACATATTCTTCAGTTTTACTTCTCTGTTTAATTGCTTCCACTGCGAATCACATAACATCTGCCTCGGCAGACCTGTTTTCTCAGTCTGTTTCCAGCCTGATTGTATCGTGCCTTAATCCCATTTTTTCCATTTGTACATTATCCCTCCAGACTTGTATCCTCTGCAGACTCGGGGCTGCATTCTTTTAAGCAACAGGCGAGCAGACCGAGCCGCACTGGACTCGAACAGATCTCCTTGTATCCCATTAAACGCCAGCTCCCAACCTGACATCACACCGTTAATCTCGCATTGTGTGCTTGTTGACTGTCTGGTCATGTCGTAGTTCCAGCTAATTCTCATTTTCCTCGTGCATTGTTTCAGTATCCGGAGCTATTCGTAATCCTGTGCTGGAAGACAAAGATACTGAATTCAGAAGGGTTTGAAAACTGTTGAAGTTTAATAGAAACCAGAGTGTAAAGCCAAATTGGGTAATAAACAAGTCGGTTCAGAGAAGCAAGGTGGATCTTTGCTGGATTTGTACCCGACAGGATGGGCTGCGCTCTGCAGGCACACACGGAGTCAGCGGTCTGTCGCTCTGTTGTGTGCAGAAAAAGGCCAGTTCTCCTCAGAAGAGAGCCTGGACGCAAGAACTTCCACGTTTGCTCTCCTGTGTTTTAGGAGACCTTTCCTTAGTGTTTGTGGGACGGAGCGGTTGGTTTGGTGCTCACTCTAACTCTTCTCTCCGAAGCGCGAAGCTGCTAACGATCAGATTTTGCCGGACCCGAGCGCCTCCTTTTTGTGCAGAGGCGTTCCATGAGCTTTGTTCTCCCCCTTCTGCCCCCTTTCTCCTCCAGCTGAAACTTCTACACCCCTCCTCAGCCCCCCCCCAACTATCTTAACCTGGGTCTGCTGTCGTTTAGAGTTTCCCTATTTCTTTCCTCTCTGCTTCTGACTTAATCCTTTGCCTACTTCACAGGCCGATTCTTTGATGAGAATGAGTCCCCTGTTGACCCGCAGCAGGGTTCTAAACTGGCAGATTATAATGGGGATGATGGGAACGTGGGTGAGTATGAGGCAGACAAACAGGCCGAGCTGGCTTACAATGAGGAAGAGGATGGTGATGGTGGAGAAGAAGACGTCCAAGGTGAGCTTGGGCCGTGTCTCCATCCCATTGTAATAAAATCCACGCTGAGTTTACTTGTTGAATTTGTGTAAAGCCTCGCTGGTTTTAGCTAATCGCAAATCTAGACCGGAGCACAAATGAGCTTTAGGCAATCCTTAAAATTCGGTCTTGCTCTGCGCTGCGTTCCCGCAGTTTGCAGCCAGAGGATTTGGGGGCCTTCCTTCAGCCGTGCACACAGTTCCTGCTTCAAATTGCAGAAGAGGGTTTGTTTAAAACCCCAGGCCTGGGCTGTAATCTTTGACAAGGACTAAAGCAAATTGCAAATACGGCGGCACAGTTGTTGCGACTGCTGCTGCCCTCACACCTGCCTTGAGGCGGGGAGCAGCGAGGCCTCAGTTCCCCGTTCACGGTGTGATTTTTGTGCCATCGTACACAGATTCAACAGGCTTTTCCTTGCTAACCACACCTCAGACCTCCTTACCCCGGAGCCAGCCTAACCCCTGCAGTGCATGGCCACCACCTTCGCCCTGCATGCGGCCCGGCCTCTCCACTGCTTGTCTGCCCGTTGTCTGCCCCCTCCATCCAGGGGCTCGGTCACACGTTGTGCAAGGCTTGCATGTCTGCAGGGGGGAGACATTTACACAAACACAGTGTTGCCAACCAAGGAAAGTGCAAAATAAAGAGGAGGAAAAAAACCCGAGCAACTGAAGTTCTCCAGGCACCCTGATTTTAATCCTCGTAACGCCAGGTTTTTAGCTGGAGTTTTTTCAGATGTGTATTTAATTGGTGTAATTAATGGGAAAAGCTGATAAAAAGCAACTGATTTCTGTGGGCATGCATCTAACCGTGCAGCGTAAGCACTTTTTTGGCTGGGCTGGTAGTTTAAAACTGATGAACAAGCAAAAGAAAAGTATGGATCAGAACTCTGGGCAATTAATTAACTTCCTGATAAAAAAAGAAAACTGCTGCTGCTCTAGACAATGTGGCCCGGTTTTTTAAACTTCTGCTCGGAACCAGCAACGGACTTTAGTCCCTCTGCGTCACTGACGGGTCGTTGTTGGGTTGAATTTGCTGGTCGGTGCGGGTGCAAAAGCACGTAGGGCTGCTGCAGGCGATGCTGTGGCAGTGGGAGACTCGTTCAGATGGGGAAGGGCTTGCCAGGAAAAGCCGAGTGCGGGGCGTCGGGCAGGTTCGTGTCCAAGCTCTGCTCTGCAAATGGAGGCAGTTGCGTACGTTGGGTTTTTCGTGGTTTTCGGGTCGGCTCCCCTTAGCAGGCAGTGGGGGACGCCCGGCTCCTCCCCACAACCCTTCCTGCCCTGGGTCGGCGTGATGCCCCTCGGGTCACGGCTTGGACTTGGCAAAAATCTCTTCGTACCCCTCTGTGTATCTGTGTAGACATAACGGATTTAGTATCTCATGGTAAAGGTTAAAGAGTGACTTCTGGGAGCCTTTTGGTGAAGAATAGGCTGAGCAGTGTCTGTTACTACCTCGGGCTTAATTTTCCAAGCCCTTTGTTTTGTTGTTTCCTAATAACTTGCTGACCTGATGGGATTTAAGTCCGAGAGCGGGGAGTGGTGCGTCCAGAAGCAGCACTTCTTCTGAAGTGTCTGCTTTTGCCTTTACACGACTTTGTTTCCAGGTTAGGAGAGGGTAAAATCGTGGGGGCTTGGAGGGAGAGTGGTTATAATTGTTTAGAGAAGGGGAAAAAACCCTGGAATTTCTGTCTAAAAACTATTAGAAAAACATCACATGGTTTTGCATTAGGCTAGAACAAAGCATGTGGCATGTGCAAACAAAGCAATTTAATTAAACATGGTTTTCGGTTGCCACTAGAAATGTGTGGGCCTTGGATTGAAATGATCGGAGGAAAATAGACAAATCTGGGAGATGGGCTCACGTGAACGTCAGCATCCAATCTGGCGTTCGTTCTTTCGGTCCCCGTTTGAAACGTGAGGCGATATTGAAAAGCCGTTTGCTTCCATCGGAGTAAACGTGTTTTCCTGGTGGCTGGATGGTGGAAGATTTTATAAATCAAGTGACGTTCGTTTGCTGTGTTACTGGTTCCTCCCTGAAGAAATGCAGATGTTGATGAACTTCAACCTTTCACTGCGGGGATTAGGGTCCCCCCGGGCACCCGCCTCGCGGGCAGGCGGACGAGTAACGGTGGTGGAAGCGCTGAGGAGCTTCACACAGCTTCTGGTCTAGGAAAAGACCGAGTACACCTCAACTTTGCTTTCCATTCCCGTGAAAGAGCATCTTTGCTGCCCGTAAAGGAATGCGGTCCACAGCGCAATAAGAGCTCCTCAGCTGAACCGAAGGCAAGGGTTAGGGCTTTGACATTTGTTGAGGGAGGAAGGCTGGGGGCCCGCACGGGAGAGATCTGACCTGCGGCAGGTAAAATGCAGAACAACCATCACTTGAAAAAGTGCTGATGGGTGTTTGCTTGGTGGATTTTTTTATTTTTGCATGTGTGTCCGCAGTAAATGGTTATAGTGAGGATGCACGAGTTCTATTTTCTTTAGTTTTTTGATTCTTCATAAGGAGGCTCAAAAACCAAAGCCCAAGGACAGAAGCAGGACAGAGTAGCGGTGGAGTGAGACAGTCATCCTGGATCTGAAAGACAAGGTGGAACATTGTTGTTCTTCCCATTAGGGACAGAGCTGTGAATCCTTTTGAAAGAGGAACTGAGCCCCGCTGGGAAAGCTGTGGCTGCCTGAAGTGGCCCCTGCCTGGCCCTCTCGGCTCCGCTCTGTTCCCCCCGGCTGAGGATGTGGCTGCTCCGCAATTCAGGAGCTGCGTGGGGACGGAAGGGCCAAGCGTTCACTGCGCAGGAGCCCGGCTGGGTGCCTTGTTCCAGCTGCAGAGGACAGCGGTGACAAGTGTATTGTTGACTCTTCAGCAGCGCTGAGAGAGAGAACAGGGATTTCTGCCGATAAGAGGTTGGGAAAGGGTCGAGAGCTGCCTTTTTCATTTTCAAACATCTCCCTTCAGACCCGAGACGCACAGTAGCAGTATGTACGGGTGTCGACAGCAAAGTCAGTCCCAGCAGAAGGACAAATCCATGGTGCTGGGTGCTGTGGAAGGTGTCCCCTTTCAAACCTGAGAAGAAAGGGGAGAAAGTGTGACCTCGGCCTGAGGGCTTGTGGCTGGGGTTGAAATCCCCATAGGAAGAGTCTCAGGTTACAGCAGGAGTTTAACTAGTTCTGCAGCCTCTGCAGTCAATAAATCTCTGGAAGGCAGCGGCAGCGAGGCCCGGAGTGTTGTCCCAGGGTGCTGCTGGCCGGAGCTGTCATCGCCGGCCCACGTGCTTCCTCCGTGTGCTCCCGGTGACTTCATTCCCGTAACCAGCCGCGGCCAGTTCCCGTGGCCGTACGCGTTAGCAGCCCGTGCTGGGAAAGTACGTTCAAATATTTTTTCAGTAGTGTCACATCTAGATCTGATCCGAATGTTTTAATTGCAGATGATGAAGAAAGAGATCTACAAAACGACCTCGTCGATTACGGCAAGCCCCGCTTCAGCGACGGCGTGCTCTAGGGCCGGACTTCGGCACGAACCAGGCACCAGATCTCAACTGAGCAACTTGAAGTGCTGCAAAACTGAACCATTTTTACTTTGGTGTTTCTTACTTCAAAGGAATATGATGATAAAACATGACGAGTCTACTCAAAGTCAATGCAGTGACGGTTCTGTACATGTGTACATAGTTGTACTATTGCAAATTGTATTAAAACTACATTTTTGTTGTTACATTGAGCCAATTACTTAGACTGTACCTTATCTGTAATAATCTTTACAAGTTAAACCGCTGTTATAAATATGGGCTGAACTGTTTCTGCGATTCAGAAAACTTTGTAAACTGGAGAACTTGTACAGTTTGTATCTGATGTAACAAATACACGGTGGAAACAATGTACAGCCAAAGGACTCCTTTTCTACAGTACTACCTGTACGAGCAGAAATACTCCCGCTTTTCTCACGAGTGCTGTGTTTCTGTATTTTGCAGGTGAGCTGTTGGTTGATAATGACACCTGAATGCTTAAAAAATCGCTCCTTCCTTAATGTAAGTGAGGAAAGGCTCCGACAGTCTTTGGAAGCAAGTACCATTTTAATTCTCGTATACAGTGACCAAATCTCGTAGCTAGAGCTGGAAAGCAGCGATATTAGACTTTTAATCATTCGATACTTCCTGAAAAAGGTCTCTAACTAATAGCTTATTTTAAAAGGTAATATAAGTAATTCAGCACAGCTTGTAGGAACTCTTTGTGTATGTGTTAAAGAGAGGAAGCGTGTTAGGGAGCAGCAGCTGCGCCTGCAGCAGCTTCGTAGGGATCTTACAGGAAGGAACACCCCTCGCCCTCGGTGAACAGGTCGTGTGCACCGTCCCGCTGTCTCGAGAGCATCCATCCCGTGTCGCAGCCCTTCCACTTAATTCCCGGTTTAATGCTCGGATACAGATCTCAACATCTGCCACGGTCCACGTTTTGATTTTCTGTGTCGCAGGGTTTGTACGTTGGATACTTCTGGTGTTCTGTGCTTAAGCACTTTCTGAATTTGATGGCGATGATTCTGTTGATCGACAGTAGTGGAATGAAGGTTATTGACCCAACCTGCTTCTCCAAAAGGGCTCCTGTGAAAAGCAGTTATAGGGCCTCTGACGTGGGTGATTGTATTTTCTCTCTGTACTCAGGTTCCAGGTTGAAGTAACAGTTCAGGTTTGCTCGTTGCCAATTGAGTGAACCTTAAGGTTCAACAGTTGTTTGTTTTTTTTTTTTCTTTTACCAGTCAATCTTAAATACACAAGAAAAAAATATTTCAGATTCTGGTGATGCATCTCAAGGGTTTTTGTTTCAGGCTTCGTTTGGTACTTCGGGGAGGCAGCTGGGAATAGCCCTTTGCATGGTGTGACGTCCTTTCAGTTGACAAGAAAATGCTGAACCTGCTCAGCATTAGACACCGTACTAATACCACACACTGAGTTTAAACTTGTACCAGGATTCTAAGAACAGCAGTCTTCAGTAAATACTCTCTTTAAGCATTACAATTTTTTGTCTTAAAATGTAATTTCACCCTAAATTAGGTGTTAACTTGATTCTTCTAATGAAAGCAACATTTATGGGTTCTAATAAATTAAGTTGTTTAAAGTATGTGAGGCTTCTGAATTTTATTTTGTTTTCTTTCGACTTTCTAAAACGGGGTTGACTTGAGGCTTCCTGGTGGTGGCAGCTGCTGCAGAAGGGCCAAAGCCAAGGCAGCGATGGAGAGAGCAGGAGCTCGCTCGGTGCCTCCCAGCCCCTTTCTAGCGAGTGCCTGAGAAGGTGCTGGAGCTGCTCTTTGGGAGCCGCTGACACCGCGCAGAGCTCGGCGACGCTGGGACGCAGGAGCCGGGTTGCAGGAGGAAGCTCAGCGCGGGACAGGCGCCGGCCTTCACGCCCAGCTCCCTTTGCCACAGATCTTGTGACCGGGCCCTGACTCAGCCCGGTGTCACCTTTCTGTCCCAGTAACGCGATGGGCAGAGACACAATCCAGTTTTATTTTAGCTTCTTGTCTTCTGGAGTACTAAACCATTCCGTGGTGTTTCTTTGAATCCGTACGAGTCGGGACCCGCCCCTTCTGCACCAAAAGCGAGAACGCTTTGATAGTGCTCGCTCAGGGACCACTTCAGCACATTTGCCATCTCGAGCGAGGCGGGGAGTGCTGGGAAGGCCTCTTAAAGCAGTTCTCTTCCGTCTGATTTTCCCTGTAATGTGCTTTCTCCTGCATATGCCCCAGAATGACATTATCCAGTATTTTTAGGCAAAATCTAGAGAACTGGTGTGGGAAATGGGTGATTTTTATAGTCTTGCTCTAACTACTACACACAAAAACTCTCCTGTATACCACAGGCTGTCTCTCACTTTACGTGTAGAATAATCCCATGTTAAGTTTCTCTAGGTCTGATGATAGTAAAAATTAGAACACGATTCATGGCTTCGGCAAGGCCTCTGTATTTCGGGCAAGTATGTGGCTTAAGCATAGCCCATACAGAAACACAGTTTGATCCGAGTGGATATCCTTTTAAGGAATCTAATTTAGGTCGCTAAGCACTTCACCCTTCATTAGTTAGTGATCCAATGTTTAAAGAATTTTATTTCGAAGGGGAATTGTTCTGTCAAACAAATCCCGCTTCAGTTAAAAAAAAAAAAAAAAAAAAAAAAAAAAAAAAAGGGTGG